ATATGCACTGCACCACTAATTTTGAAGAAGTCTGGCCACAATTGATAATAAAACAAACCAATCTGGGATAAAGCAAGGGCAAATTTACAACTGTGTATAAAACTATGAAAACTAGGGACAGGAAGTATGCCATTCAGGACTTTGAGCTTGCATCAATGTTCATTCAAGTCAGTATGATTTAATATTCCTCCTGTCCACGTTCATGCTCTTGCACATTGTCCTTGATTTTCAAACACATCAAAAATTCTATCCTACTTCGCCATACTTATGCGCCAGGAATTTCACCTCCACAGCTCTCTTGCCACCCGCTGTGAGAAGAATTTCCTCCTTACCTCGTTCTTAAATTTGTGCCAGTTTATTCTGAAACTATCTCCACTGACCCGAGACTATGCAATGAAGGGAAAAATCCTCCCAGAATTTACTCTGCCAATCTCCTTTAGAAGCAAATAAGTCTCAATGAGATCAACGTTAGATCTACAGTCTTCTTGTGAGGTTGGAAAATAAACAAATTTTAGAAAATATGCTTTCTGGTTTAACATAATCATCAGAACTGAAAGGAAGCCAACACAACAACTGAGAACAATGACATATTCCTGGTAATTACAGCATGTGCCAATCATCTTCGTTTTGCAATGTTATTCCGTTTGTTCATTTTAGAGAAATTTGTATCTGTTACTTCGCTGTGCTATCTCCTCATGGACAAGTTGGATGAAATGGAGCAGCAAAATTTCTTCAGCGAACGTCACGCCAAAAATGTTGCAACATGTTTATTTTGTCCTCAACCAGGGACAGATTGCTCTATAAGGAGGGGATATTCACGGTCCTGTGATGCATTGCACGGGAAGTCATGAATCGGGATATATATCAGACAGTGTTCTAAGAATGGTGCAGCCAATAATTATTCAGATGAAAATAATTTACAACCCAATTCTTGCAGTCTTTGGCATACCTGGTAATTCTTGTAAATTGGAAGTGTTGAAGAGTTTTGATATTTCAGCTGGAGGCCTGGTTCCTGCAATGTGCCGCAAGATTCAGTTCTGTGTCCACTGTTGAGCGTAATTTATTTCAACAATTTGAGAACATACGAGGGATGGTTAATAAGTTTGGGGAAGACACCAAAATTGGTGTTACATTGGAGAGTGAAGAAGGTTTTCTCGAAGTCTAAAAAGATCTCGATCAACTTGACAAGAAGAAGGAGAAATGACAAATGGAGTTATTTAATACAAATGACAGGTGTTGCATTCTGATAGGGCAAATCGAGGCAGGACTTGCATAGAAAATGGTGGGGAAGTGTTGTTAAACAGGGTTACCTTTTGGTGCAGGGAGATAGTTCCTTGAAAGCAGTGTTGCATGCAGAAAGGGTGTGAAGAAGACGTTTGTTATGTTTGCCTTCACTGGTCATACCATCAAGTATAGAAGTTGCGATGTCATTTTGCATCTGTAAAAGGCATTGATGAAGCCAGATGTGAAATGCTGTCCACAATTCTGTTCGCTCTGCAACAGGATGGAGTCTGTTAAACTCAAAATTGTGCACAGAAAAGGAAGGATTTTTCTGGGTCTC